ATGAAAATCCGAGTTTTCGTGAAGCAGCTTGGATTTTCGCCATCGCGATGGATGTATTATGATTCTCCATGGAAGAGTATTGCTGATGGGAAAGTCCCGGGATAAAAGAAATTTGAAAACAACATCCTCTAAAGTTGAGGATTTGCATTCTCCTTTAGATAAAAATATGTATATGCACATAATATCATTCTGAATATTCAACAGAACACAGTTATGGAGTGTATTTTCTCAATATTGACTCTAGTCGATGGAACTTCATTTTCACTTACGTTTGGATTCTGATAACGCCAGAAGCAAACTAAAAGTAATTATTATCACGGTATTGGCACATTCACTCCATAACACTTTGCCAAAAAGAACGTGTTTCTCCTCGACTAATTGTTCGATTCAGGTGTTCAAGTGCTCATTCTTTTTAGAAATCGATGATCTGAAATTGTATCGGTCGTAATTGGAAGAATAAACATTTCTTTATTCGCCAGAGATTTTTAAAAATCACAAAAATTCTGGATTCTCCACCACTTTGTTTCTTTCAATTATTAGATTTTCAAATGTTCCATTGTGTACTACAGTTCTTTATCTTTGAAATAACTCGAAGAAATACAAATTCGATTGAATTTTCATGAAGCTTGGAGCAAAATAATAATAATCGGTTATACGAGATTAGCACATTCACTCCATAACAAATTGCAAAGAAATGAGTGTATCTACTGGACTATTTGTTCGATTTCGATGTTCGAGTACTCATTCTCTTCAGGAATGAATAGCCTAAGATGACATCGGTACAGGTCGGAAAAAATCTGATTTTCTTTTTCTCCAGCGGTTTTTGTAAATGACAATACTTTGGTAGAATCCGCCATTTTGTTTTTGTTCATTGTGAAATTTTCAAATATTCCACTGTATACTATAGCTGTGCTATAGCCCTTTAGCTATGAAACGACGCCAAGAAATTCGAATTCGGTTGAGAAATGAAGAAACCACGAGGAAAATAAAAACTTCCGTTTTTTTTGTGACGCACCCGAAACATAACTTACGAATATGTTCAGTATTGAAATGAAAATTGAAATATGTGGGAGAAGTATACTTGTATAAACTCTGATCTTGATGAGCTTGGAACTTCCAAAAAAATCATTGGTCCCAGTGATAATTATGGGATTTATATCTCCCACTAACAGGTTATATGACTTCATTCGATTCAACTAATTTCGGATATCTAATCGTCCTCAGTAACCTGAAGTCCAGTTATTCTTGCAGCCATGATATACACAATTTTCATCTTTCCATAATATATAACTAAAACTACAACGAACTGACATCTGAGAATTATTATCAAGATAATATTGAGCTTATGTTAAGTTGAGGTGTAGTTAATGTTGATTTAAAATCAAGTTTATGTCGTTAATATTGATTCACTGTTAATTTGAGTTGATGTTGAGTTAATGTTGAATTAATGTTAAATTGCTGTCAGGCTAACGTCAACATAACGTTGTAATGTTAAGTTAATGTTAAATCATTGTTAAGTCAGTTTTGAGGTAATGTTAAGTTGCTGTTGAGTTATTGTTAAGTTAATGTTAAGTTGATCTTGAGTTAATGTTACGTTGATGGTAAGGTGATGTTGAGTTAATGTGATGTTTATGATAAGTTAATGTTACGGGTATATCAAATAAATGTTAAGTTGATGTTTGATGTTAAGAAAACGTTAAGTTACTGTCAAGTTAAAGTTAAGTCAATCCTAATTCAATTGCCATTCAATGTTAAGTTGATGTTAAACTGATGTTGAGGTTAATGTTGTTAACATTGAAGTTGAATTGAAAAATAATGATATTGATGATAATAATAATATCACTTTAATGTAATCGAATATATGATTGGACACATGATACCTACTCAGGTCACATAAACACTCATGATGAATATAATTATTTAATTATTGGTCGTAGGAAAAATAGTGTACAAAACTCGTTGGAAACGCAAACGCCGCTCTGCGGCTCTTGTTAAACGGCCACTCACGCGAAATATGTCACTTTTCACACTAGTTATGTAATATAATGTTACATCCCAACGGCTTCTCATCATCTACAAAGCACAGCTATGACCAGCACCCAAAACGTATAATCTGATACTCCTGGTGGGTGATGCCACACTCACTAATTCTTTGAAATCATAGGAACACCGCAAAAAAGTCAGTGACCTTTCACTTTTTTATGTAGGTTTAACTCTTATATTACTTCACTGCACTGCAATCGATAGCAAAAATTAAAATAGTAGATACGTATTTTTTTGTTTTGCCGTGCAGAAACTCGATTGCACTGTACGGGGTGTTGAAGTTCGCATATATTTTTAATTTTATTTTTTATCTCAGTTGAAATGAAACCTAGCGATTTGAAATTAGGTGATCACTTTTCTCTCGGCAATATGAACAGTCCTTATCAATGGAGGGGACTTAGCTACACTGGGTGTTATTCTTTTTCGAGCCCTCTGACATGGAACCCATCTGATTTTCTTATCGTGACGTTGTAGTGGATTGAACCAAATGCAAAATCATTATCATTTCTTCGCCTCACATTGTGTTTTTCATTTGTTTCAATATCTTTCTCAGTTCCCGAGTTATTTAGCAAATCATATCATTGAACACTGTTATAATGGAGTGCTCTGGGCATTGTTCAATATTGAAAATGATGAATGAAAAATGTAATGGTTACTGGGTATGAAATTCTGAAATGAATTTCTCTTGATCGTTTCAATATTCAATTCGAATGATAATTTGATGCAAGATAAACATTCAGGTCAAAAAACTGTTATGCATAGTATAACATTATTTCAAATAACAAGGAAACTGAGTGAGATATCAAAATAAATGAAGGGCTGATAGCAAGGTGAACAAATGAGGATCATTTTTCATCAGCTATAATTCACCATTAGCGTCCCAATGGAAAAAATCTGTATGGTTCCATATCAGTGGATATGAAAACAATAACACCCAGTATAGCTAAGTCTGCTGTGTTGGTTAGGATTGTTTATATTGCTGATAGTGAAGTGCTCACCAGATTTTAAATCGCTAGGTCTTATTTCAACAGAGATAAAAAGTAAAAACCAAAAATGTATGCGAACTTCAACACCCCGTATAATGAAAACAAGTTTCTCCACCACAAAACAAAAAAATACGTGTATAATATTTCAATTTTTGCTATCTATTGTCAAAGTTAGACAAGTTAAACCACGGAAAATGTGGTTGCCGGAAATATGATCGAAATCATTAGATCGAACTTCATTTTATCGGAAACCAATCGATCAAATGATCGAAAAAATCAAATGATCGAAATATCAGAGATTCTATAGGAATTCATTGATATGAGGGATTTCATTGTGAGAAGCAGTGAGGAGTATAAAATCAAATTTAGGCCGAGTCAGGTTATATCATCTTGTTTAGGAAAAGAAGCCTCTTTTGTTCTCTCAAGTAATTTTCCGAAAAATATACTTTCTAGGAAGAAGGTTCATTTAGGCCGAGTGAGGTTAGATTGTTTGGGAAAAGTATCTAGTCCCTTTTACGCTTACGCTGTTTGCCTGCAATGTTATAAGTTCTATCAAAATATAATTCAATCAATAGATATTTCGATCAAATGATATTTCGATGAAATGATATTTCGATCGATTGATTTTCGATCATTCGGATTGATTTTCGATGAAATGATGTTCGATCAAATAGTTTTCGATCATATTTCCGGCAACCGGAAAAGGTTCCAATTCCAGTTAGACGAACTTGACAAGCCTAGTCAGTACTTTCTTTGTGTCAACTTTGAAATATGTCACTTTTCCAAAACTCATCTATCTATAGGACGGCAAAGAATTGGAATTCTTTATGAAGGAAAGTATCCCCAAAAAACTAATAATCACCAAAATAACCTCTTTATTACCCTATACCTCCTCTCCCTATCGAACATTATGGGAATTCACTTTCGTGCGCTCCAAGAGATAAAAAAAATCCAATAACCTATTTGTTGACTCTGAAATGAGAGTATTGAATTATGTATTCCCTTATTGTGTTGAATTAGGCATTCATTAAAAGTTTATACTTTGCTTTAAATTCTATTGTCATATCTTCCTGAAGTATATTGACAAAAAAAAAGATCTCTCATTCATGGAGTGTGCGTTATTTCGATTAGTCTTCATAGACACTTTCAATAGGAAGGCACTGCATATATGTTCGGCAAGGTAATGATGACACATCCTGTATATATTGTGTAATTGCACGATGCAACGATCCCTTTAAGCTGGGCATATGTTCTATGTTTTCGTATACGTAAAAGTATAATAATGATTGTCAGTGTTTGTCGTTTCTTAATCCACATTTTAGAGGTTTCAATTAAGCTCGTTCTGATATTAAAAATCCCTTAACAATAGAGCTTATTTCTACTGGAATCCCATCTCGATATTAAAAAACTTTCCAGTCTTCACAAAGCCTTCAATTCATCGGGATTTTTTCGCCAATGTGTTCATATCGAATAAAAAATAATCGGGTCTAGAAAAATATTTTATTTTCATACCTATGCTAGTAACATGAACAAATACACAAAATAAATTAAAAGTGAATGAATGGTTCTCAGAATAGTCATTGTCACTCTTGAAGCAGGTTTATTTCTTGGCGATTCAAGCTTTGGCGATGCTAGCAATGAAACGCGGTGGTTGATTTGGATTGGTTAGGACCAATATAACAACAGTTTATTGCTAGCATCTCATGCGCCAAAATCGCCTAGCAAATATTAATCCACAGCTTCACTAAAATCACTTCCTCCAGGTCATCTATAAACTGGCATTTCAAAAGTTTCGTTCTTTCATCTCAAATATAACAAATGCCCTTTCTTTAAAATAGGCTTACAAATATCGTGAATGAAACTACTCTCCGAACTTCCTCAAGTAGTAATTAGTTTGAATATCTCATATTCACATCAACTAATCCTAATAATACTGGCAGAATATGTACAGCACTAATGAACACACAAACACTAACAAGATCCGTTACAGACAATCTCACTGGGACTCTTCGGCTGTATCCTGAAGTCATCCACTCGCTCCTTGTTGAACACATCGTCATCCTCTGGCAACAACGCCACATTCGTCAAAGCCTCCAGGATATCGTCGGTATCAGCGGCAGCACTGTCTCCCTCATCGTCCGAATCCGCGATAAGAATAGGAGTAGCCCCATCGTACAAATTCGACTTGCTCCTCGACCTCTGGTACATGTCCTTGGACACACTCCTCGTGAAAGAGAACATCTTGGATTTTTGCTTGGTGAGCGGCGGTCGAACGAACTCTTTGCGAACCGATTTCTTGGTGAGCAGCTCTGAAGCATGCTCGCTTATAATCCTCCAGGCATGCTCCACGTCTTCCTGCGTGGCATTCTCCGCAGTGACGCAGAACCTGATGATGTACTTATCCTTGACCATGGAGGGGATCATGTGCATCTTCCCCGAAGCGTTTATCGTAGCCAGCAAAGTCTGGTTGACGACATCAGGCGCTGCCAGCCTGAAGCAGACCAGCGCCAGCCTCACATCGTTCACCACCTCGAACCTGTGGTCCTTTCTCACCAAGTCCTCGAAATGCTTGGCCAGCTTTATGTGGTTCCTGATGTACTTCTGCAGGCCACTGAGTCCGTACTTCCTGATGACGAACCAGAGTTTCAGGGACCTGAACCGCCTACTGAGCGGTATGCCCCAGTGCCTGTAGTCTATAGCTTCGTCAGAGTTGGCGTGTTGTAAGTAGAGGGGATCCACGACTAGGGCGCTGGTGAGCTTCATGCGGCACTTGACCCAGAGACAGGAGCAGTCGTAGTTGGTCAGGAGCCACTTGTTGGGGTTGATGTTGAAGGAATCTATGTACTCGACTCCCTGAAGGTAGACTTTCAGCTCCGGGCAGATGAATGCGTTACCGGCGTAAGCTGCGTCCACGTGCAGCCAGGTGCAAGGCTGAGCCCTGCAAACTGGTCCGATTTCCTGCAGATTGTCGAAGGAGCAGCTGGACGTGGAGCCCAAGATGGCAGATACGAAGAAAGGGAAGAGGCCGTTGGCAGCGTCCTTTTCCATTGCGTTCAACAGGATGTCTCTCCTGAGACTTCCGTTTTCGTCCGGTTCGAGGATCCTTATTTGGACCAGCAGGATTTTGGCGGCTTTTTCCACGCAGGAGTGGGCTTCTTTGGAGCAATAACAGACTAGTTTCGGGAGGAACTCGCTGTCTTCTGCTTGGGGGTTGGTTTTCTTGAGGTGTTGTATGGCTTGGTTCCTGGCGGCTAGCATACAGACTAGAACGCACTCGCTGGCGGAAGTTTGGATGACTCCGCCTCCTTTGCTGCCCTTTATTGAGGTTATGAAGTCGTCAGGGAGGCCGATGGCTTTGCCTAGCCAGTCCATGACTATGGTTTCTAGTTCTGTGCATGCTGGGCTGGCAGCCTGGAAATAAAAAAAGGGAAATCATTAAAATGATATCAATATGAGCTACATGATTTTGTTCATGTTGTTATCCATTGTTTTCAGATTATTTACTGATACTCGAATAACTGGAAGTGTAAAACTATCAGAATGACTCATTTTTGAAATTTAAACTGATATTTTTGTTTACTTATGTATTTCTAATTATATTTATTGTGAACCGTTAATAAGGGATATATATATATGGACGATTGCAGGATTCTAAGGATGTGTCATTCAGTGGTAATTGGAATATTAATTACCTTTATGAATAATTATTTCAGATAAGACAAAGTGTTTCATGTTAGAATAAACCTATTTACAATTATTGAGATTTGAAGTATATATAAGTATAAATTCCAGTTAATACCTATAGTATACACGTTTTTGGCTCGGTTTCTGATAAGGATATCTAAGTTACTAAAGTATAGTTAAGAATTGACGGTATATAATATTTACTCTACTTTATTGGTGAGGTACTACAACTATTTTCGAATGAGTTTTCAAATTAACATATCAAATTGAATGCAAATAATCAATTATTCGATATCTAAGTTACTAGAGTATAGATAAAAACAGACGGTATATAATATTTTCTCTATTTCGTTGGTAAGGTACTACAACTATTTCCGAATAAGTTTTCAAATTAACTTATTGAATTGAGTGCAAATAATCAAGTGATCAAACCTTATATTCGTAAAAATGATATATGTTCAGATTGGAGCATAATTTTCTTATTATCATTTCAGGTAATTTCAATATCACGATTATTTCATTCATATCCGAATAATTATTTGCCTGTTGAAATACTCATGAATATATTTTTCATTAGTAGGTAGCACTCTATTTTTCTTCGCTTGCCCGCCAAGCTTACAAACACGCCAAAAAATTGTTTTCTGTATAACATAATATGAGATTATATCATTCTATATCTTGTTGAATCATTTACTATCAAATATCTGTTGAATATTTGACGGCTTGTTAATCTTCATGAATATTGCCTTAGGATTTCGAAAGATATTGATTATATCAAAATAAAATGCCTCAATATTGTAATGATAGTATATACAGGGTGGAGACTTCAACTGGAATAAACTCGCGACTAGGGGAGTGAATGATTTTTCTGATAATTCGCAAGACACATCAACGTTTAAATGTATTTTTCTACATTCATGCAATTCATGAACTATATTTAGTGGAAAAAAAAGTTCTTTATTGCACTTAGTGCAATAAAGTTTTCATTGCACTCATCTGTCATTCTACTTCAACGTGCTGTCATCATGACAAACATTTTTTATATTGCAACTGTGGTTATAGAAACGTCATATTTTCATATTGAAAATTGCACCAATTGTTCAGTCACTTTCAAAATTGAGGGTAAAAATAAAGTTTGAGTTGAATTGTTCGTAACGTATTAGTTCCTGTTTCAATGCAAATCGATATTAATAATAAAGTATTCAAGTTGCGTTTTTCCTACACCTAGTGCCGCACCTCAATAAATCATTTTTTGCTTTTTGAATGAACGTAGAAAAAATGCTGTATGCAACTCGTGCAAAAATTGTTTGTTGCACTTGTTGCATAAATAAGTATTTCCTACATTCATGCAAAAAGCAGAACTTTATTGAAGTATATTTAGTGTAATAAGAAGTTCTTTATTGCACTTAGTGCAATAAAGTTTTTTTATTGCACTCATCTGTCAGCCTGAAGGAAATAACGATGTACAGTTACCAAGTACTAGTACGTTTACAGCAGTAACAAATCAAGAAGTGGATTTAAAAAGTACTTCACTACGAAATATTCATATTGAAAATTGCACCAATTGTTCATTCACTTTCAATTCAACATTGAGGGTAAAAATGAAGTTTGAGTTAAATTGTTCGTAACGTATTGTCGTATTAGTTCCTGTTTCAATGCAAATCGATATTAATAATAAAGTATTCAAGTTGCGTTTTTCATTTTCCTACACCTAGTGCCGCACCTCAATAAATCATTTTTTGCTTTTTGCATGAACGTAGAAAAAATGTTGTATGCAACTCGTGCAAAAATTGTTTATTGCACTCACGTGAAATTGTCCGACGAGGCCGTTAGGCCGAGTTGGACAACACAATGAACATTCACTTTTTGCACTTGTTGCATAAATAACTATTACCTACATTTGACGAGCAATATGGAGAATATAACCCTTCAGGGGTAACTGGAATCAACCCCAACATGTTTTATTTCAAATGCAATCCTATGGCTTGCGACCTGTCATTGGAAAGCTGGTTGAAAGAGAGATCCAGCGTACTGATCATATTTCATTTTATAGCTCGTTTGGGTGTCGCATAAAATCAAAATATAATTTCGTAGTTCAATATATTTTCAGCGTATCTTCATCAAAATTTCGACTTTTAGTGATAGTGATTAGGACATTTCCATCAGTTTGCAATAACACTTCGTTTCGGACTATGAATATCTACGGCAAAAAAACTATATTTCTTTTTGCGGCTCTATTAAAACACTGGAATACAATAGCAGATAGCAGTTGTGGCCAAAAACTACCATCAATTGTTCAACACACATTTTCTATTGATACGTTGAGAAAAAAATCGATTTTGAAATTACATCCTCCATTTTATGAAACATTTAAACGTACCTATGAAAAACTAAAATTTGACTTGTACGCTGGATTCCTCTTTCCACCAGCTTTTCAATGAGCGATCATAAGCCATAGGGTAACATTTTAAAAAATCACGCTGGCGGTGGTTTCAGCTTCCCCTGGAGGGATATATTCTCGATACTGCTTGCAAAAGGTGGTAAATACATTAAATCGTTGACGTATGTCGGGAATTTTAATCTAGTTAAAGTCTTCACACTGTATACTTACATATAGTAGGTAATAATAATTATGAGTACCGAAATGATTGTCAATCTAACTTTCCAATTTTTGAATGATGTGACATGTGATTGTATTCGGCAGTGTTTCACCTTCAAATCGACAATCAGGATTTCCGTGATGGTGATTTAGAAAATGATAATCATCAATAAAACATTGCCACGTTTTTATATAATTATTATCAACAACTACAAATTCATTATTCACACCGGTGTTATGAAAGTCAAATTTGTGTTAAAATATTTATTTTCACCAGTGAGGATAGGTAGAGATCGGATATTAATAGAGAATTAGAGACACTTTTACTTATATCTGACAAATAACATTGCATTTGCATAACGGGACCATATTCATGAATATATTATATATTTATATTCGGCTTCTTCAAACATTTTCCAAAATTAGGTGTCACTGACAATCGATTGATTTTTTTAGGCTCTCTAATATATTTATAGTTATATATAGTTTATAGTTACTTTTGAGGCAAATAATCTGATGTTTTGTTTATATATTACAGTTATACTTTTCCATTAATAGATGCGATGTGTTTAACATGGAGATTGGGGGTAAATAAGATTTTTTTAGTTTCACACTGAACATTGATACTTAAATCGTCTAATTTTTCTTCAAGCTTCTGGTTTTCCTATTTCAAATTGACATAACATCTAACACATCTACCTTTCTTGTGAACTGTAGAATTGAATTCCATAAAATACCCATCAGGAAAATCCATGAAATATTGTTCACGGCTTTCCATGAAATGTTTTCCAAAGATATTCACAAGATATCATCTTCAGGTATTGTTCACAGATATCCACATGATATATTTTGGGGATATCATGAAAGGATATAATAATGTATAGTTTTATATCAGAGGAATATGTAACTGAATATGAATTGTGTACACAAAAAACAATGATACATTTGATGTGTATAAGATGTTGTAATATCCTTATCAAATTTAGGATGACAATCTCGGGGAATAAAATTATATGGAGAAAGAAGATTTTTTTATCTCATATTTCATGATAGAATATCTTTCAGAGGATAGGTACAATTTTTTTGAAGAAGAAATCTCCTTCGTACCGCGTACAATACATAGACAGAAAAGGCGCATGTATTTTGAAAATTATTCAGCTTAATACTCAATATCATTTATGTTTGCTTCAGATATTTTCTGTCTCAAACCCCTGGAAAAATGGTTGAGACTCAAGGACTTTCAAGAAAGGTATTTTTTTTATATGGAAGGATCAACATTGACATATTTTGGTGATGGATTTGATAAAGCACAAATAATTTAACCATCTGAGTCGATACATCTTGCAGTGCACTGAAGATAATAGGGCAGGAAGAAAATTATTATTTGACTGTCATTATCTGAATGTTTGTCTGACGTAGCTTTTTGCATAGATTAAACAGTTGACTGTGAGATATTCTTCCTGCCCCACAAATAATTTTTTGATGTGACAAATCCTTTTTTCCGTGTATGTGGTGGTGTGTAATAATAAAAAATACACTGTCGATTTGTTTCCGCGTACTCACCCAAGAAAATCCAATGCAGCCAATAGCATCCGACAGCATATCAGCCAAAATTGACGGAAACGAATTTCCACTGGGAAAGTAAGCGTGGAACCTGGGATGCTGCCAATGCGTTACCCCCGGCATGATCTTCTTCTCCACATCTTCCATGATGTCGTCCCATTGCTCTGCTTCTTGCGGCGCCTCGCTCGGGATCAGATCCTTGAGGTAGCCCGGCTCCAGGTCAGGAGTGACCCTGTAGCTGCCCAGATTCGACACGTATTGACATATGTAGTCGACCATTTCTTTTCCGCGGGTCCTGAATTCTTCCACGTCCATTTTGTGTTTTTGTCGCGTGTGTTTCGATCGCGGATAGACGCGCTTTTGTTTGAACGGATTATCAAGGCTCACTATATCCGCGGATATTGTGAAACTACTTTTATAATTCGGTGCGGAGGTGGGGGTAAGCGGTCTTCAGATCTTTCGCACGGTTGTGATTAGGTATTGTGCTTTTTTTGTGCAGGATGTGAGCGGCGATTCTGGGGAATTTCGAGAAAGGGCAGGTCTTTGACGTGCGATGTTAAGTCGATTTTTTTCAGGCCTACGTGATTTTACATAGTCACGTGGATGGTCGGAGCTATCGAGACATAAAGTCACCGGCAGAAAAAAGTGCACATTCAGATAAAGAATATTCATCAAATCATTTTTTTTCCTTCCCTCGATTTTTTCCTGCATTGTAGACCATATACTTCATTCCCCAACAACACAGGGATGTCCTAGGTACGTCCCTTTTTTGTCCCGCGGTACAAGGACATGATTGGGACATCCAGGGGATGTCCTGCAGTGGTTGTCCAGTGGACATCCCGCCCGATACATCCCTAGGTTATCCTATTCGTGTCCCTGGAGTATCTGATATCCATTCACATCAGAGTCATTGAATTTCATCAAACTATTGAGTTGAATTTTTTTGAAAATATTTGTTTCTCTTCCAGAAAATGATTGTAATGAAAATAAAGAATAAAGTCTCAGAACTTCTTAAGAAATTACCATTTTTCGCAGACAGAAATCGTACATGCATAATGCCCCTCATTTTTAAACACCCAAGAATGATAATAATTATACCCAATTCCTAATGAAGTTGTATTTATTCAGGTTTCTGTAGTCCTGTTTATAAATCTGTTTAGTACATAAATCTTCAGGAGGCATGATAGCCAATGGAGCAAGGTGCGTGCATGATAAGCCAAAGGTCCCGGGTTCAATCCCTACTCGACCTGAAACTTTTTTTTTGTCGGAAGGATGTCCCTGGAATATCCTTGGGACGTCCTAGGGATATCCTTTCATCGTACTTGGTACATTCCAGGGACGTACCAGAAGGACATCCCTTGGATGCCTTTTTTAGCGGCCAGCGGATGTCCCTGGGACATCCCTAGTATGTACGTTGTCCCGACAAAGGACATCCCTGGGATGTCCTAGTATAAAATCAGGGACGTCCATTGGAAATCCCTAGGATGTACTGGTGTTGTTAGGGTTTGAGCATTTTTTAAACTTTCTTGTGAAAAAATGTTGATCCATCACCGTTATCTTGACTAAGTATCATCCACTAATTTCTTTATTTGAATTTCACATGATTCTGTTGTGAAGAAATATTGATTCTTATTGTATCAACCATCATCATAATCTTCAATTGAAACATTAATCTATACTAATATTATAAAGAGGAAAGATTTGATTGTTCCTTCGTCAAATTCAAGAAATTCAAGATGACGGATCCAAAATGGCGGATTGTGTAATAAGGATCCGATTTAATTCACATTTGGTATCTGGTGATTCTCGGTGTGGGATATTATGATTCTTTCGTCAAAACTAGGAAATAAAAGATGGCGGACCCAATATGGCGGACGAGTATTGTAATTATGATCCGACTCTCTTCAAAATTGTTATCTGGGTGTTTTCAAAGTCGGAGATTATGATTCTTTTGTCAAAATTTGGAGAGGGTGGGATTTGGAAATTCAAGAGGATGGAACCAATATACCATACGAGTTTTGTAATTATATACCGATACTATTCAAAATTTGTAAGTGGGCGTTTTCGGGATCAAAAATTGTGATTCCTTCGTCAGAATTAGGGAATTCAAGATGGCAGATCCAATATTGCGAGTTTTGTTATTATGTTCCGATTCTATTCAAAATTTTCATCTGGGGTTTTAGGAGTCGGATATTATGATTCTTTCGTCTAGATTGGGAAATTCAAGTGAACAAAAAAGAAGTTGAAGTAGAAAATAAAATGATGATAGTGTTTCGATGAGTACTGAACTACTGAAAAAATATATAATAGGAATATATATTAAAAATGTATATAGCAAAACAGCGTTTGCGAGGTCTGATATAGTCATTCATAATTTTCTCAATCTTGCATCAAGCACTATTCTATAACAAATATTAGTTTTCGATATTTTTTCTACGGAATGTCTGTAGTATCGAAAAAAATAACCCTCTTTTTTCTGTTTTGTTCGATGCAAAGTTGATGCATCGTCTATCATTCAGATGCGAGATGCATTTGAATTAATTTTTTCATTCACTTATTTAGCCGAAGTTCAGGACAGTTTTGTCGGAGTTACAATTAGAACAAATAAAAAAATATCAAGAACTAAGTTACAATAATACTTTTCTTGGTAAACTTTTTTAAATTCGAATAAAGAGGTCAACCTTTATCCATTAATTTGAAAAAATGTTACTTTTGACATGTAACCGAGTATGCCATTTTCCAAATTTTTTTATGCAAAACTCAACTCCCACGTCAATTTCCAAAATAAATTATTAGTAATTTTTTTCCAATTTGAGGCCAACTTCATGAATGACACTGTATATGTATAGGTACTCTTGATTCAATAGGATTTCATCATTTCCTTTTTTCGAATAATTTTAAGGTTTGATGTGGAAAAACACATTTTTATATTTTATCGTCATAATAATGATCTTTATCTCTGAAAACTAAAAAGTTGAAGGCGCGAGCCATATAACTCTTCTGGAACACTGATAAAAACGTTCTTATTATGACACCCTGTATGCTGGAAGTATCGCAATTCTGAAATATTCTGTATATGGAACGTAACTGTTCAAATAATGACTGTACAAAAATGCCAAATTGATTTGAAATTCCTTCCTAACAATGTAAATAGAAACCTGTTCAAGCACTTCAAATACAAATACACAGCAATATAAAGTTCATCTCCGATTCCAAGTAAATTTCATTATATTTTTAGGCATAAATAGAAATGGTGTTGTCTTCTCCTTGACCCTCGATATTATACAGAGGGAGACTTCAGCTGGAATAAATTCGCACACAAGGTGGTGAATATTTTTTCTCCATTCCACAATCTTAAAAGATCCACTTTTCCGCCTTAGTGCGGAAAAAACCTTCGACACTCAAATGAATGCGGAAAATAGGAATATGGGTTTTTTTCTGCACGCAAATAGAAAAAATAGTGTACCTAACACGTGCGTAATAGTAATTTTCTTAACAAGTGCGGAAAGTGATACTTTACGGCACGCGAATGCCGTTGACCCGAACGACGCGAAGGTGAGTTCGGGCAAGCAGTCGAGTGCGGGAAAGACACTTTCCGCATGAGTTAGGAACAATACTTTTTTTACAGGCGTAGGAAATTGATTGATTTATTCAATCAATTATTCCTGCAAATAGGAACAACTAACAATAGTGATATATTCTCTATCTTCTAATAATTAATGATTCATCTATTGTGTGTACCGTTTGAAGCATTATGTAGGTAAGTTTATTGCGGAAGCCAACATGCCCATGGTGTTTGGCCTCTAGGTTTCAGACATTTCTAGCAAACGAGCCAAAAATACGTCTTCTTTATTTGGTGTTTCCACTTTTTTATTATTGCACCATTCAATAAATCCCGTGTAGCTCATCTGTATCGCATCTATAGCTAGAAGATTTTCATCGCAATTCCAATGGAGAAAGCCATCAATATTGAGCTTATCAAATATCTGGAGAGCTCAGGAATCATCAATGATAGACAATACGGCTTTCGCCACCGAAGATCTACTGGAGATCTACTTGCCTACGTCACCCATTTATGGCAATCTTCAAAAGAAAAACACGGGGAATCTCTAGCTGTCGCGTTGGACATATCGAAAGCATTCGACCGTGTTTGGCACGAAGGACTCCTCCACAAACTACCATCATACGGCATACCACCTCTGCTATGCCATCTCTTATCGAGTTTTCTTTCAGGCAGATCGCTTCACGTGGTGGTGGACGGTGTATCGTCTGATACCATTGGCATCAATTCCGGCGTTCCACAAGGATCAATTTTGGCACCAACATTATTCCTGCTTCATATCAATGATCTGTTGGGAGTAACAACTTGCCCCATCCACAGCTTTGCAGATGATAGTACCCTCCATACTGCGTTCTCTTCCAGAATTCACATTTCTTCCCAGGAAACTAAGAACTCACGGCGCAGGCAGGTCAATGCTGTCAATGAAGATCTTGCCGAAATCACAGCCTGGGGAACAAACAACCTAGTTGAATTCAACGCCACCAAAACTCAAAAGCCTGCATTTTCTCTAGAAAGGCGGAACTCAGTATGCCCGATATTGTAATGTCTGGCTCCACCATCCCCACCAAGCCCACCATATCTATGCTCGGTATTTCCATCAGCAACACTCTTTCATGGGATAATCATGTCAGATCCATCGCAAAAGCTGCTTCACAAAAACTCGGATTCTTGTTCCGTGCGAAAAGCTACTTCACACCTCAACAGCTTCTCATGATCTACAAAGCGCATATGGGGTTCAGCACCAAAACATACGCTGATGCTCTTAGATTCCATCCAGAGAAGAGCCATTCGCCTGGTGGGTGACGCCACACTCACTCACTCTTTGACATCATTGGAACACCGTAGAAAGGTCGGCGACCTTTCACTTTTCTATCGATATTTCCACGGGAAATGTTCTTCGGAAATCTCTGCTATCATCCCTTCACTAGCAATACCAATCAGACGAACTAGACAAGCCCAGTCAGCACATCCTTTCGTTGTCAACATCGAAAGATGTCGAACAGCACTTTATCAAGACTCCTTCATCCATAGAACGGCTAGGCTCTGGAATGCATTGCCTGTGGAAGTATTCCCAACAACATATAATCTCCAAAAGTTCAAAAAAAATTCCAATACCTACCTCCTGTCCCTATCCTCCCTAGGAACGCACGATGTTCTTTGAACATTATAGGGAATCCCTTTCGTGCGATCCAAGCGATAAAAAAAAAGATGACAGAAACGCCGTCTGTCACTCTGAGAATTTCACTAACTAATT